CTACCCCTTTGGACCTTTTCTTCCTATTTCACATTATCAGTTATTCATTTTAATCATTATTTACACTTTCAGTTTCTCACAACCAGAGAAACTATTCGGTATTTACACATGTGTGTCCTATTTATTTCCCTTAAGAGTATGTCCTCAGTATGCATCCATTTAGCTATAAATGTCTCTAGTTTCTCGTTCTTTATGGCTGGGTAGTATTCCATTTTATAAAAACCACATCTTTATCCAGTTTTCAGTTGATGGCCACTTGGGCTATTTCCAGGCATAAAGCCCCTTTTTTAAAAATCCTGGATTATCAAATGATAATAATGCTTTAGAGAACATTTTAGCAAAACTTGAAGTTTTATGGTGTCATATAATTTGGTAGTTGGTGGAAGTGGTGTTGCTTTAGAAAAGAGAATCCTAAGTTTGGGCTAGATCTTGAAGTTACTAATATAGTAATTGCCAAAGAGGAAGGAATTTGATTGGAGTTTTAGAGGGAAATTGGATGAGAAAAAGACATTGACATTGGCATGAACCAAAGTTATCAGGGGAATGTAGCACTAGATTGACTTGTTTGGAGGTGCAGGATGTGAAATTTTGAGAAATGGTCTTCAAAAAGAGAAAGAATGATCATTGAATACTTTGAATGAAAGAAAGGTTGAAAAGTTAAGGAAGTCTCTTTTTATTTTTTTTTTTTGGTAATGGGGGATTGAACTCAGGATCTTGCGCTTGTGAGGCAGGCGGCGGAACCACTGAGCTAAATCCCCAGCCAGAAGTCTATCTTTTAAATTTCAAATCATTGTGTCTTGAGCTGTGGCAAATGAAAATGGCTTATGAGAGAACTATCTTATGTTGATTTGCCATCTGGTTCCTGGTCAGAAGAGAGAATTCCTATATTCCTTGTTTTATTTGCTATCTATAAAACGTTAGAGCAATGTCAGAAATTATATAGCACAAAGCTTTTCATTTTATAGGTGAAGGAAATTTTAATCTCAGAGAAGGGGAGAAACTTGAAATATTGATAATCAGTTCTGTTCAAAATGAAATAGCCTCATCAGGCTATTAATTTAGTTTGACTTTCTGTATTACATTGTACCTATTTGATACTGCTGATCATCTCTGCAATAATTGCATCCTTATTTTTCCATCATTTCTAGATGTCACTGCTGTGTGTATATTAGAAGGGTTCCAAAATCAACAAAGCATGCTATTAGCTGATAAAGTTCTTAAACTTCTCGGAAAAGAGAAAGCCAAAGAAAAGTACAAGGTAAATTAATCTGAATTGTGAAATAGAGAGAGTATGCTACTTGAACTTGGGAAAAATGATTATAGTAACAACTGAAATTCGGGTGGAATTACATTTCTTTTTCGTATAATCTTGGGCTTTTGTGACATATTCTTTTTCAATAAGTATGTAGGCTGTGTTCATTACTGTACTTGGAGGAGACTGGAATTCATCTGTGTTAAAAGTTGCTATACTATGACCAATGGGCCAAATCCAGTCTGCCTTTTGTATTTGTAAATAATATTCAGCCACTCACATATTGTTTTTGGCTGCTTTCGGCCTGCAACAGAGCTAAGTGGTTGTTGTAGCATACAGCGACTATATCCCCTGAAAAGCCTAAATTGTTTATTACCTGGCTTTTTACAGGAAAATATTTGCCAACCCCTGTTCTGTATCACTAATTTTTAAACTTATATTGTGTAAGTGGACATTTGTTTTAGGCTGTTAGTAGTGGATAGTTTAATTCAACAAACCATTATTAAACAAAGCTCCATGTATGGGGATAGGTGTGCAAAAACATGTTGCCTTCCTTATAGAATTAAAATTTAGTGAGACTGTTACTCTATAAAAGACCTAACGTGGCTAATGTCTAGTGGGAGACGTACATACAGTAGTGCTGAGAGAGCACCACCATCTTTGTCACTGAAGATTCACTGCTAAATTTCAGTAATATCAGGGCAGTTGTTCCTTTTTTCTTTACTAATGACTTGCTTTTCTCTTAAATGGATTTTAACAATTATATATATTTAAATTCTCATCTGTGACTATTAGCAGAATGAAATGATTAAAACAGGCTTCTTCACTGTAGGAATTTAATGTGCTGGTTGGGTTGTGAATCTCCAAGAGCAGTGAGGGCAAACCTGTTAGAGACTGGTGCCCAAACTGCGACCCAAAATCCACTCATTTATTGCAGAGTGCCAACACTGCAATTAAACCTGAATACCAAGGTTTTAGCTTATAAAAGCATCTTATACATTAACATCTTTTGTCTTTAAAAGAAAAACACAGTAGCGTAGATGCCATAGGTTTCCCACCACTGTCCAAGAGAAATATAACAGTAATAGCTCTCAGTCTCTTTGAACTGTGCAACTTTTTTCTGCTTAAGCGTCTTGTAAAACTGATGTTCCTCCAAAAACACTTTGCAAAACATCATGTTAGCTTCATAAATTGAGCCTTAAAAGAAGCTAGTAAGATAAATAAGGCAAATATTTATTTCAACTACTACTTCAGGGATGAGAAAACTTGAGATTAGAGGTTTAATGACATGTCATATACAAGGGATGATCAATACAATGAATCTTTAAAAAAAAATTTTTTTTAAACTTGTGGTAAAGACATTACCAGATAAATGTGTTTGAAGTAGAAGGAATATTTTGAGTATTGTGAGAGGGATCAATGGCAATGTACCTTTTACTGTAATACATTTTTTAATTTAAACATTCACCATATTTTATGACCACATACCCCATTGATCAAATGTTTATGGCAATTTCTGTCAAATAAAAACATACCATGTGTCTTCATTCACCTTATTCAACAGACCTGGCATTATGAGTCGTGACTTTTTTTCCTTCAAAATCAAAATGACCATGAAATGTAAATGTTTTTAATAAGTTCAGGGGTTGAGGCAGCTACAAGAATACAATTAGACAATAAAATTAATTAAAAAAAAAAAACACAGACTCACGAAAGAGGACTTCCAGAACTGCTTCAGAAAGTAGCAGGAACAATTAGATAAATGTGTTCAAAATGAAGGAAAGTATTTTGAGAGGGATGAATGCCAATGTCTTTTATTATAGTAATTTTTTTAAAAAATTTTAAACATTCACTATATTTTTTAAATCATAGCTCATAGTGAATAAGTGGCAGAACTAAAATGTGATCTTTTCATTTGTTACGTAAGTCCATTTCTTGAAACATTATTTTAACTATAAATTTATAATCCAGTGTGGAAGATAGGCAATAGCTTCATTTCTAAGCTGAAATGGGAAACTAAAAGACTTTCATGATTTACCCAGCTTCAAGTAAATGCTATTTAAAATTCTATTTAAGCTTTTCCCCTAAAATGATAAATGATATAAAGAAAAGAAATTTGTTTCTTACAGTTCTGGAGGCTGGAAAAACCAATACCAAGGTAATAGCATCTGGGGAAGGCCTTCATGCTATACTATCCCATGATAGAAAGGCAAGAGAACATGAGAGCAAGACTCAAGTTTTATTATGAATCTACTGTCTTGATTTGATAACTAACCCACTCCTGGGTAATGATATTAATCCATTCATGAAAATAGAGCCCTCCCGACCTAATCATGTCTTATTAAGCCCCACCTCCCATTATATTAGATTGCAGATTTAGTTTCCAACACATGAACTTGGGGGACAGATTCAAATAATAGCAATGGGTTTTCCCTTAGATTTTGTCTTTTAAGTGTTATTCTATTCTGCTCTCCATCCATCCTACATTAGACCATTTATTTCAAAACATTTTTTTTAATCCTACACATACAAGACATTAAATCTACCAAATAGTAATGGTATTTGTTATACATAACATTTTAAATAAGCTGTTTTCAGCCAGGCATGGTAAAATTCCAGCACTCTGGAAGGCTGAAGTAGAAGGATTGCAAGTTCACACCCAGCCTAAGCAACTTGCTCTGTTTTGAATAAAAAAATTTTAAAAGGGCTGGGGATGTGGCTTGGTGCAAAAGTCCTGGGTTCGAACTCCAGTACTGCATAATATTGTATTTTTTATTTTAAACTTACCATAGGTATTGAGTTTTGTAGATGAAAGATCAAAAATATAAGAGCTCTTTGTCTATATTATTCCCTTTGTTTAAAACTTTTTTAAAATTCTGATTTACAAGGAGGGAAAAAAACTCCTATAATTATGAATGCCAAAAAGAGAAGATTATAACAGGAAATCTGATTAAATGACTTACAGTGGCACTTCCCTATAATGCAGATCTTCAGATGCAAGCCCATGGCAAATGGACATTTTTAGCACCTGCCGTAAGAGCTGTTTTGAACAGCTGGGACTGGCCATTCCCACTATCTTTTGTCCTGTGGCTTAGAGCTTAACATTCTTCAGTTATTTGAAAATGAGAATCCAGTTTTTACAGCAATTATTCTTAATGTTCAATAATGTACCTGCTTCTTAGATTATTGTTTTCTTATTTTGATAAATTTCAGAATCGTGAACCTTTGATGCCATCTCCACAGTTTATCAAATCTTACTTCAGTTCTTTCACTGATGATATCATTTCTCAACCTATGCTTAAAGGAGAGAAGTCTGATGAAGATAAAGACAAGGAAGGAGAAGCTTTAGAAGTAAAAGAAAAGTAAGTATGCCAGTGTCTCCTGAATGTTTTTTGTGTTTTTTTCTTGTTGTTTGTTTTGGTTTTGGTTTTTGTGGCTGCCATGAACTTTCCCTGGAACCACAATGGGTTCAGAGTCAACTGAAAAAAAAATCTTATCTCTAGGTAGATATAAATAAAATAAATTATACAATAGTACCATAATTGTTATAATTACAGAATAAAAATACACCTCTTTCTAGCATATGTCTGTTTCTCCTCTGCTATTTAAGCATCTAAGGGCCCAGAGATTAGTTCAGTGGCACTGTGCCTGCCTGGCAAGCGCAAGGTCCTGAGTTCAATCCCCAGTACCAAGAATCTACCCTGCTTTCACAGTCTTGCATTGTGATTATTCTCAAGAGGATGCCTAGTGAATCAGTTGGTTGATTGTATTTGAGTAAAGGCACTAACTTTCAAATTAATTATGTAGCTTAACATTTAAATGTTTTAGTGCAGGGAAGATTTTAATAATTATGAGACACTTAAATTTCCTTCAAGGTCCTGCTTCCTTACCAAAATGCCATTCTTTGGACTTCTTGTGTTTGAGGTTTAGAGTTGTTTTTAATACCTACCACTTTTGTTCTCTGTAAGTAGGAACTTTTTTCTTCCGATCTGATTTGATAATTGTTTCTATATCCTTAGCCTGGTGACCTGAAGAACAAAATAAGGAATATTAGAATCCAGTTACAGGAATACTTAATGCAGAGTTGTAAGATTTTGATTGATACACCTTTTCTTTTAAGCCACTTACTTGCCAGTTTCTCTACTCAGATTATAACAACTAAAATGAGAAATTGTACTTTTAGTGTCTTATACAAATGCTCCTTCAGTTACATCCGATACATCATTGAGAATATGTAGGTTAAAAATACATTTATTCTGAACCACGTATCAAAATACCTACTACTTGAGCACCTAAATTTAGCAACATACAGTACATTGTAGAATATTGGTTGTCCACCTCCTGATTCTGTGTCTGACTAGGAGCTGTGACTTGTTGCCACTGCCCAGCATCACACAAGAGTATCATACCACATATTGCTGGCCCAGGGAAAGATCAAAATTCAAAGTACACTTTTTACTGAAGTGTACCATTTTCCTATCATGCTGAAGTCTAGCCATTATAAATTGGGAACTATCTATATTTAGAAGATGGTTCAAAGGTTATGTAGTGTAAGTTTTGGTTTTTTTCAGTTATAAATCCCTTCTACAAGCATCTCCAGTACAGTCGTTATTTTAAAAGAATAAATAATACTGTGCTTATTGCATTTTTTAAAATAGGTGTATTTTTTAAAGATCTCTAATATAAGAATTTTGCTTTAAATTTACTTTTTTGATAAGTGTACTTTTTAATTGTTCTGTTCATATAGGTGAAACAATAAATCTGTATGAGAGCCTTCTGTATTTCCCTGTCTCCAATCTTACTCTCTTATTCAGTCCATTCTCTACAAAACAGTTATCTTTACAAAGCACAGTATCATACCTCTTGCTTTGGCTTATATTGCACTAAGCTTACTTGATTGTTTCCTACTGTTGTGTTCCTCTCTTAGCACTTAACAATTACTCAGTGCAATTAAGTGCCACAGATAGGAAGGTAAAACAAGATCCTTACCCATGTTATAAATTAGTCTTGTCTTTTTCACTAGCTTACCTTTTCACATATTTGTCTAAGCCAAGGTGTTAACCCAGCTTTCTGTCATAGATTCTGTTTCCTTTTAAAACTCACTCCCTAAAGCATCAAGAAAGTCCCATTCGGCTTCAGAAACATAATTGTTTTTTAACTTCTTTTTCCCAGCTCTAATTCTATACTAGCTGGCTGATTAACTTGTAAAGGGGAAATGGACTATTGCTTAACTCAGGCATGCTAAATGTAACAAGTTTTAGCGTTTGATTCTTTCTTAGTAAATAGTTTCTTGTTTGTTTTCATTTTCAGTTCTGGATATTTAAAAGCCAAACAGTACATGGAAGAAGAAAACTATGATAAAATCATAAGTGAATGCTCAAAAGAAGTAGATGCTCAAGGAAAATACATGGCAGAAGCATTATTACTACGAGCCACCTTCTACTTACTCATTGGCAATGCCAATGCTGCCAAGCCTGATTTGGATAAGGTCATCAATTTGAAAGAAGCTAATGTGAAGGTACATTTTGAAATGTTTGTGCATGTGGAAAAAAATCAATAAGTAGAAATGGTTTTATAGATCTTTTGCCAGATACTTTAGCATTTCACTTGCCATTCTCCAAAAAGGCTGTTTTTGTTTTGGCAGAAACCTAATTATGAATGCAATGGTGCTATAAATCTGAAAAATAAATGTTAATATTTATCTTCAGCCAACAAAGTAAAATATTTTCCTGCAGAATCTGGAAGTTTCAGCTTCCTCGTATAGATACTACCTACTGTGTTGGACTATTTCAGTTGTGTAAGGGTGATAGTAACAGGGCTATTGATAGGTTGTAAGTAGCATGTGAAAAGTAGTTCCAGGTTTTAAAATATACTTAAAAAAGGGCTAGGGATTTAGCTCAGTGGTTCCAGTGCCTGCCTTGCAAGCGCAAGGTCCTGAGTTCGATCCCCAGTACCAAAAAATATATATATATATAAATATATATATATATATATATACTTAAAAAGGATATATATATATACTTAAAAAGGATAAACACATTAGTAATACATTTGGAAAGATTTTTATAACTGAAGAAATGAACAGCCTAGGGCTGGGGATTTGGCTCTGGTTCTGCCACCTGCCTCACAAATGCAAGGTCTGGAGTTCGATCCCTGGTACCAAAAAAAAGAAAAGAACAGCCTAAAAATATACAGAAGTTTTCTCATTTGTGTTGTTGAAGCAGCTTTTCATTTTTCAAGTGTTTTTAATGTTTATGTAATGATTTTCATAATAAGATTTAAAGGGATCTGTTGAATTATGCAATTTCTCTACTCAAAGTAACAAGATAGAATTGAGCCACCATTAATTTATCTTTATTAGTTAATTCTTTCTCTTTAAAATTAATCATCTATGTATTTGGGAGGGATATAAAAATTGTTTTTAAGGCCTAAGTATTTGTTAAAAGTTCATTTCAAAATTAGATTTTCAAATTGAAAATACTTCATAATATTAATTTTATTTCCTGCTGATTTTCCTAATGACTACAATTACAGTATTTTGTTATAATTGTGGGGGCCTTTTTTATATACATATATATAGATATGCACACACACATATAGTATCAACATGTATAATCAATACCGAGATAGACAGACAGACAGACAGACATGCGCACTGAGTCTGCCAAAAAAGTATATACAGCCGGGGATTTAGCTCAGTGGTTTCGCTGCCTGCTTCGCAAGCACACAGACCCAAGTTCGATCCCCGGTACCAAAAAAAAAAAGTATATACACACTTCAGGAAAATAAAAACTTGTATAAATATTTCAATACTCAATTTATTGAAAGATCATGAGATTAATATAAATTACCTTCGGCCTCTACAATTATAAGAGGTGCTCAAAGTAGTAGCCATTAGCTTTCAGACATTTATTTATATATGTCAAACTGCTGCTTGGGTAACCTTGGTCATTAAGACTGCTGCACAAGCATTTTCAATTTCTTCTTTAGAGTCCTGCAGTATAAGTGAGTTTTCTGCAATATACAACATCCTCTAGGATCTCCCATATGAGAGTTAACACCATCTGTTGAAAAAACATCATACTATTTTTCTTTCCTGAAATAATGTGTATACACTTTTTGGTGGAGTGGGTGTGGGTGTGGGTGTGTGTGTGTTAATGCTTTGAACAAAATTTGAAAGAAGAAATGTGTTTTCTTGATCACCTCCGCCCCACTACTGGTATTTGGACTCTGCTACGTCTCCAGCCCCACTTTTAAAATGTTTTACTTTCTGAGACAGGGTTTTGCTAAGTTGCCCAGGCTTGGCTCACATTTGCAGTCCTCCTGCCTCAGTTTCCCAGAGTGCTAGAATTATAGGCATATGCCACAATACTCAGCTGTATGTTTTCATTTTAACAGCAAGTTATAATCATGTCTGTGACATCTATAAAACTTAACTCAAAATGGATGAAAGACAAATGTAAGAGTTAAAAAAGTATAAAACTCATAGAAGAAAACAGGAGTTAGTATTTCTTTCCTTGTATGAATATAAGAAATGAGAAAGTTATAAGAAATAAGACACCTTGTATGGTGAGATAAGACACCAAAAGCACAAGTGCCCCTCCCAAAAGAACATAAATTGGACTTTGTCAGAATTTAAAATATTTATGCTTTAAAGAACACCATTGAGAAACACAACCTTCCACAGAATGGGTGAAAATATTCATAAAGCATTTATCTGATAAGAAGCTTGTAATACAGAATAAACTACTCAGAATTCAACAGTAAAAGACCACTTAATTTTAAAATGGGCCAAGGGTCTGAATAGACATGTCTCCAAAGAATATATACAAATGACCAGTAATAACATGAAATTATGCTTAGCATCATTAGCCATTAGGAAATTGTAAATGAAAACCATAGTGAAATATAACTTCAAAAAGATGGACAATTAAAAAAAAAAAAGATGGACAATAACAAATGTTGGTGAGGACATGGAGAAAGAGGGACCCCCCTACATTACTGTGGAAATGTAAAATCTTAAAATCTCTTTGGAAATTATATTGACAGTTTCTCAAACAGTTAAGCATACAGTTAGTTACCTTGTACTCCAGCAGTTTTACTTCTACATATATACCCAAGAGAATTGAATACATATGTTAAAAATATGTACATTAATGTTGACAGCATTATTTATGATAACCAAAAGGTAGAAGAAACTCAAATGTCCATCATCTAATAGATTTTATACCTCTAATAGAGGTATAAAATGTGGTATATTTATAAAATGGAATATTCAGCCATAAAGAATACAGTACTAATACATGCCATAACATGGATGAACTTTGAAAAAATACATAATGAAAAAAATCCAGACAAAAGGGCTGTATACTATATATAATATCCAAAATGTACAAATCCATAGAAAAGGAAAGGAGATTGGTGGTTTCCATGGTCCAGGGAATGGGGAGTAACTACTAATGTATATGGGGTTTCTTTTGGGGATAATGAAAATGTTCTGGTGATCAGTGCACAGCTTAGTGAACATACGAAAATAGTTGGTATGTACATTTTAAAAGATGAGCCTTATAGCATGTATATTATATCAGTTTATTCAGAAACCTAATTGGGGGAAAAGGTAATGCTGAATTGTTCTCATTTGGGTGTGTAGCTTCGAGCAAATGCCCTCATCAAAAGAGGCAGCATGTACATGCAACAGCAGCAGCCTTTGCTGTCTACTCAGGATTTTAACATGGCTGCTGACATTGATCCTCAGAATGCAGATGTTTATCACCACCGAGGACAGGTAAGTCAGTTTTTATACCTAGAATTCTGACGTATGGATTGAGCTATTTGATGACAATTTTTGATAATTTCTTGACATTTTCTTACATCATTTCATATATCATAGTTTATAATTTGGATTGGCCTTTATTTAATACTGCTTTGAACATTTGTCTTCATAATTTTGGTATTCGTGGAAAAGGAAGCAACAAAATGTTGCTTGCCACTTTGTGTTTCAGGTATCCTGGTTCATAGGTTTTTCAGTGAGTAAAAATAACAATAAGCATTTTGAGTTTATGTGAGAATCAACAGGATGACTTTTCTGGGCTGGGTTGGGGCTTTTTTGTTTGTTTTGTTTTGTTTTATTTTGAGACAAGGTCTTACTATGTAGTTCAACCTGTAGTTAAACTTGGCCTCAAACTGGTGACCATCCTCCTGCCTCAGCCTTCTGAGTGCTAGGATTAGTGACATGTGCAGCATTACCTGGCTGGACTTCATTCTGTAAGGAAATATTAGCCTGGACTCCCAACTAATAACAAAGAAAAAAAAAACTTCTGAAAGTTTTATGATAGGCATATAAGATTTTTTGTAAGAAAAATATGTAATAAAGAAATTTCTCAATTATAGCATCACATGGAAAAAATGTGACTAATTTGCTTAACGTGGCTTCTTAGAATGCATTGTAGGAGAAAGTATGGGCAGTCCAAATAACAGTAAACCTGAAGTTCTTTCTAATAGAGATTTTACCTACTAATGTTTCTTCCTAGAGGGTGAAGTTTGGAGATAACCTCTCAAATGTCTTGACATTTTCATCTTTACTGGTAGTGTCTTAAAGGTAATTTGAGGGCCGGAGGTTTAGCTCAGTGGTTCTGGCACCTGCCTTGCAAGCACAAGTTCCCAAGTTCGATCCCCGGTACCAAAAAAAAAAAAAGTAATTTGAACCAGACATGGTAGTGGATGCCTGTAATCCCAGCACTCAGGAGGCTGAGGCAGGAGGAACACTGAGTGTTTGAGGCCAACCTGAAGTATATAACAAGACTGTCTCAAAAAAAAAAAATTGGAAAGTAATTATCAGTTATCTGATGTGCTTTGAAATTAAATAATACAGAATTGTTTAATTTTCTAGAAAAAGTTTCTTCTTTAATAACAATCAAAATTACAGAGGAAGAAAAAATTACAGAGTAAAAAATGGCAGATTTATATTGCCCTTTTTAAAGAAATGGACAGGAGGGGCCAGGGATTTAGCTCAGTGGTGCCGTGCCTGCCTCACAAGCACAATGTCCTTAGTTAGATCCCCAGTACCAAAAGAAATGGACACCAATTTCACATTCCAGAATGTTACCTTTAAAATTACGGATTTTCTAGTTCTTTGTTTCTATAAAGTAGTTCTTTATTGAATAATTGTTACATACTGAACATTAGCTGTAACAGAAGAGACAGGGTACATACTTAACTAGTGGATTTATTTTGAATTACATTTATTTATGTGTGGGTTTGTTGTTTTGTTTTTGTTTTTCTTAGCTGAAAATACTGCTTGATCAAGTTGAAGAAGCAGTGACAGATTTTGATGAATGTATTAGATTAAGGCCCGAGTCTGCTCTGGCACAAGCTCAGAAATGTTTTGCACTGGTAGGTATTTCTTTTGTAATTCCTAAACATCATTTTTGTATCCCAGCGTCAAAAAAGATGATATCATGGTCTATCACATCAGCTCTTTTTCCCAAAAAACATAACTACAGGGAGGAAAACATGTTACCATGTATGTTAATCAGTATTAGCTCTTATATTTCTCTGGATATTTGAGTTCATCTTAATAAATGTTTGTTCCTAAGTTTATACTTCCCTCAACAGAACTAGCCTCCCTGCTTCTCTACAATAAATCTGAACAAACATTCAAAGTAATTTGAGGAAATAATTTATAATCATGACAGCACATAACTGCTCTTTTATCTCTCCTTTATAGAGCTGTTTAATATTATTCAAAAACACAATGCTAAAAAAGTAAAGTAAGTCCATTTTAAGTAAAATTAAGTACTTCCAGTTACCCTATACCCAGATTTCTAAAAAGAATTTCCTGTTTTCCCTTTCTACTAGGAGGCTGAGGCAGGAGGATCACAAATTCAAGGCAACTTCATAAGACTGCCTCAAAATTTAAAAAATAAGTGCTGGTGATGTAGCTCAGTGGTAGAGCACCCTGGGATTTGATTCTCAATACTGACCAAAAAATATATATATATGTGTGTGTGTGTGCGTGTGTGTGTGTGTATGTATGTATATATATGTATGTATGTGTATATATATATATTCTTTTAAAGAAATTCTAACAAACATAGTTGGGGAAAAAGTGATAAAAGTTTTTTATTGTAGAAATTCCCTTACTTATATGCAACATCAACTTCTTAGGAGGATATACTTAGAGCATTGGTTTCTAATCTTTTGGCTTGCCTGGGCCACATTGAGTGAAAAGGAATTGTCTTGAGCCACATATAAAATGCATAATATGGTAATTAATATATATAAGTAATAAAACTTCCTTTTTTCATTTTTTGTTGTAGCATTTCTAATATTAGCAGCGTTGTATATAGCAATATCATGAGCAAAAAAACTACTTTTTTGTACTTTATCACAGCTTCTAAAGAACTATTTTAACGTGTGTGTGTGATTTTTTTTTTTTTCTTTTTAGTACATATTTGCAATACATAATGATTACATTCATTGCAGGGAGTTACTACATGTATATAACATCTTAATTTTTTTTCATCTTTTCTCCTCTCCCTCCTATTTTAACTTAATTTTTTTTATTAACTTAATATTTTACACAGTAACACAAGCCCAAGTTTAATAAGAAAACTTCTATATCTGCTTAATAACAATAAGCACCTGTCTTCACAATAAGCACACACACTTGTAGGTAGATTGAAATACTATGAACAGTACATTGCTATGTTTTACTCGCCAAATTGCAGAAGCTCATCTAACATATGATACACTCAGGCTTCAGTTCAGCCAGCTGTGGCGAGTGCAGGAGACAAAATAAGGACTGCACATGTTCAGTAATTGCCTGTGCGTTCCACACTTGACAGCACACAGTTGAATCATGAAAAATGTTACAGTTACAATCTTTTGGGTCCACATTATTAGCCTTCCCAGGCTGCACATACCTTGTAGGTTGGACACACCTATAGAATATTGAATACCTTGAAATTGTATAGTAGTTATGAGGTTCCAGTTTACATAGGCTTTGGATCCTTCCTTCTGAGATACTTCTTTAGAATTCTTTTGGATGCATCATATTATGTTAGCAAATCTGCTTTTCTGGAAAGATTTATGTAATGCTGCATGTCTTTTATAATTATAAAAGATATGTTAATACTCTAGAAGTTTTTGAATTCTTGATTTGACAGACCTGTTTTAATTTTTTAAATAGTATCGCCAGGCATATACAGGAAACAACTCTTCACAAATTCAAGCAGCAATGAAAGGTTTTGAAGAGGTCATAAAGAAATTTCCAAGATGTGCTGAAGGCTATGCACTATATGCCCAGGTAAATGTGACTTTACAAATTGTTTTAAGAACTGTATTGTATGCTGAAGCTCAGCATGGAAATCAGAAAACAGTGCTATCCTGGTTCCAACTAATGTGGAAGCAGGCTTCCTTCTTGCTTTGCTTCTCTTGGCCCCCAGGATGGTCCTGAATCACATTAGGAGAACCTCCTGTGTTATACAACTTGGAAACCATGGCCTTAAACGCCTAAGGAAGGGAAGCTTAAGGCAAGCATTTCCTTCCTGTTTTCATTTGGATTAGACTTGCAAAAAATGTAATTACCTTAGAAAAATACTACTGTGTGTAGTTGGTAAAGAAAATATCCATCAAAAAGGGTTTTGTTTGATCACCATCCTTTTAGTGGTTAACTAGATTATAACTTATTTTTTCTTTGCTTTCTCTAACGTTCTTAGAGTTTCTTCATTTAAAATTGAAATTATGGAAAGTAGAATTTAAATTATTTAAACTTATTATGACTTGAAATTCTTGAAAACTTCCTTAATTTAAAATCATCTGTTTCATTGAAAATGATTATCTTCTTACAACCACATTTATACTTTGTTCCTTCAAATAAATGATCTCTGAATGAGTGTTTTCTTCATGTTTAAGTTGAAAATTGTTTTACTATATACATAAACCCAGCCACCTCAATATTTCCTAACTTGATCCTTTTTTTTTTTTTTTTTGTACCAGGTATCGAACTCCCGGGCCCAAGTTCTTTTTATTACAAAAGAAATTTTTTTCTTTTTCTTTTTTCCCCACAAACATCACAGAAATAGAAAACATTATACAATTTCCCCAGTAGATTCCTTTGTTTTTTATTTTGCTGCATGCTATCTTTAGGCAAGTTACAAGAAAAATTTAAGGAGGATGTTGAGGGTTTATTGAGGGAAACTATGAGATTAATTTATGTTGTGTCTGTTGATCGTCATGGAATTCAGAAGGGCTTTTTTTTTTGGTGCAGATTTCTATGGGGATGTAAGATAGCAAAGGCCGCTGAATAGCTTTTAAAGAGACAAATACTACAAACAACTTTTTTGCAGAACATTCCTTAATTGCACATTTTCCTTTCACTCTTCTACCTTTGAAATATGTTTGTCTTTTGTGAGCATCTTATTTCATTATTTCATTATTACAGCTGTTTGCACTAAAATTCTTTTTTTTTTTTTTTTTTTTTTGTTACCAGAGATTGAACTCTGGTCCTTTGGCTTGCAAGGCAGGCGGTGGAACCACTGAGCTAAACCCCCGGCCCTGCTCTAAAATTCTAATCTTGCTTTTCTATGTATAGTGAAATTTTATATATATATATATATATATGTTTAAATACTTTTCTATAGCTTCCATATATATAGTTACTATATAATTATATGTAACTTTTTTTTAATCTTCAAAGCTTGGGTTTAGGTGCTAGCAGTTCTTATTTACAGCCTGAGTGTGATCTGGTATCCACAGAACTAGGCCTTTTATTTTAGCCATGAAATTTACCTTAAAAGTATTTGATTGTAGCTGCTTTTTTTAAGGAATGATTCTGATAACAATTAACACATACATCTTAAGTTATCCTTCTAAATGAATATTGCCCTTAAAGAAATTCCCTTAAGATATATAACTTGTGAGTGACATGAGTGTACTTGTGAGAATGTGATACTAAAGTGGGATTTTCTGTCACCAAATGAGATTTTCTGTATTCTGCAGATTACCAGATTATCTGATTCCATATAACTGCTTAGGGCCAGACATTTAAATGCTCAGTGGCACCACACCTGCCTCGCAAGCGCAAGGTCCTAAGCTGGATCCCTGGTACTGGGGGAAAAATAAAAGTGCTTTGTGGAGATGATTCCATATAACTGCTTGCAGAAAAAAAAATTTTATGTTTGTAACAGTACCCTCATAGACCCCAATAAAAATCAGTTTAAATAATAATTATTTTAAACCTCATAATTTGGCAACAAATGAAGTAAATTTTAATAATTAAAAGCAGTATATTTTTAATTGTTAGGTTAACAGTTACCTTAATTATCTCCTCACAGGCATTAACAGATCAACAACAATTTGGTAAAGCTGATGAAATGTATGATAAATGTATTGATTTAGAGCCAGATAATGCCACAACGTATGTTCATAAAGGGTATGTATTTTTGTGGTTCTGTTTGTTCTAATATTATACTAAATTCCCTTCATAGTAATAACATGGAAAGTTTTTTGGGGGGGTACCAGGATCAAACTCAGGACCTTGCGCTTGTGAGGCAGGTGGCACCACTGAGCTAAATCCCTGGCCCAGTGACCAATTTCTTAATGCTCATAGATGTTACTTCATTTGTATATAGAAATTAGATATACTATTTTTGCTCTAGATTAAGGGTTTTCAGTTCTGAACATCCAGTCAAATGTTGCTTATATCAAAATAGAAAATGTACATGTTTTTTCCTGTCCTTGTGTACTGCTATATAAGAATTCTCACTTCAATTTATAGAAAGTAAAAAATAAGGGATGCAAGATAATGTCAACAATAGAACCTAGGCAGTGGTGGTGAGACTGTGGCACATGTGCCACACCAGGCATGCAAAGCCCTCTGGGTCAGCATGCGAGCCAAGTCACCCCAGCATTGCCCTAACAGCCAAGCATCAGATAACAGCAAACATAGGGCCAGTGTTGGTACTTTGCAATAAATAAGTGGGTTTGGGGTTGCAGTTTAGGCACTCTGTCTCTAAAAGGTTCACCATCACTGACCTCGACTATATATACCATTTTTATGCTACTGCAGGCTCCTTCCCCAGCTCAGATGCTTTTCATAATAAGTCTACTGAGGTTACAAAATGAAGTCGTAGATATTTATATTCCTATTGATACTGGACCATGATCACATCTGACCAGCTCTTTGCATTTGCAGTTTACTTCAGCTTCAGTGGAAGCAAGATTTGGATAGAGGTTTGGAGCTTATCAGCAAAGCTATTGAAATTGATAATAAATGTGATTTTGCATATGAAACCATGGGAACTATTGAAGTGCAAAGGTAAATTCTAGAGTCCGTCCCTAGGACTTCCATGGCAGCTCTATCTGTTTGTTTTGTACTTGTTACATACATGTTATTGTCAATATCTATTAAATTTTTAGTTTGTTATGCCTCTGGATGCAAGCATCCCTCAAAACTATGCAACTGATTTGCCTTATTGCATTATTCTTCCAAATTAAAAGTTACCTTTGTCAGAGTTGTTTAAGTCAAACTTATGCATAGGAAGAGAAAGTCGGTATTTCTCTTAATATTTTTTGTTCTTTCCTCTTTTCACTTAAATTATTCCTGATAAGAAGGGAAAAAAAAATCATCTATGATATGCTTTTTAGACAGAACAGAGTAACAGAGTTGGCAGCCAGGATACCTAAAGTCTGGATCTGGCTACAAAGAAGCAGCCAGCCAAGTGACTGGGCAAGTTGCAACATCTTCTCTAAGCCACTTGAGTTTTCTTTAAAATTTGGTTAAGGCCAGATGTGGAGGCACATGGTTATAATCCCAGCACTTGGGAGGTTAAGGCAGGAGGATCACTGCAAGTTTGAGGCCAGCCTGGGATATATAAAGAGTTCAAGACGAGCCTTAACTACATGGCGAGACTCTGTCTCAAAAAATAAATAAAATAAAATAAAATTGGGTTTGGCTAAGTACTGAACTTGAGGTGTCTTCCAGATATTCAGTTGTCTATATTTTCATCTTTGTAAAGGTGGACATTATGATCCCAAGTTTAATTGAAGAATGTAGAAACTAATCCCCAGATTGACTAGATTAACAAAATAGCCAGGTATGGTGGCACATACCTGTAATCCCAGCACTCAAGGCTGAACCAGGAAGATCACTCCAAGTTCCAGGCCAGCCTGGGCTAGATAATGAGTTCAAGGCCGGCTTGAACTAGAGCAAGACCCTGTCTCCAAAAAAGCCTAAAATAAGAAAAAAATGCACAGAAAGCCAGCAGTCAAAACAAAATTTGATTTCATATTTCACTGATGCCAGAGTCTGATCTTGCCATCATCCCTTGTCAGGAACCAGCATGAATTATCCTTATTTTCTGTCATTCTGTCTTTCCTGTATCCCTCTCTCTAGAGTAAGCAGAAAAGATAGATGGATGGATGAATGGATGGAAGAACGATTCTGCGGTTCTTGCAAACCATTCTGTATTGACAGTTGCATGTAAAAATCAAATTATTCCTTACTTATTTGCTAATATGTAAAAATAGGATAAGATAGGGCAGTGCTTCCAAATCTTTCTTGAGCACAGCTGTGATTTCCTAGAATAGTATACATATAAAAACAATTTGCATTTAATTTAAGGTATTCATAGATCCTGGGTTAAGCACCCCTGATTTAAGGGGTGTGATAGAATTTTGTATGTGGATTGTATCTGTTGTAAATGCCTTGCATGGTGGCCAACACCTGTAATCCTGGCAGTTGGGAAGCTGAAGCAGAAGGATTGCTACAAGTTCGAGGCTAGCCTGGGCTACATAGTGAGTTCAAGACCAGCCTGCACTATATAGCAAGACGTTGTCTCAAAAAATCAAATCTGTTGTAAGTCTTACCGAGTCTGTCATGTTGCCATATATTATAGTAGGAGGTTAAATATAGTCATCTAGAGGTGCCTCTTCCTAGCATTTGACATTTATATAGTAGGGAATTAGTATATTGTATGAGTGCATAAATACATACATATATAACAGCTAAAACTAGTTGCCTAAAGCAAGTGATTCTCAGTAACTGTATAAAGCCTAGACATACTTAGAGTATAAGAGGTAATTTTTATCTTACTGGTCAAGCATATTCATCTGTTTATTCAAAAACAGATAGTAATCACCAGTCATCCTACTAGATTCTGGAAATTGAAAGATGTCCATCAAGAAGCTAGTAGGATTGTGGCATAAAAAACACATATGCACCTGACTAGTCACAGAATGACAGTAGAACTATAAGAAGACCCCTAGAAGGAAAGGGGAAAATATTTTTGAGGACAATATGGTATTTGAACTGGGCCATAGAAAGGGAAGGATTTGGCCCAGGGATGTGGTAGAATGCTTTCCCATCATGCACAAGGCCCTGGGTTCATTCCAAGAACTGAAAAAAAAAAAAATCCCTGAAAGCCCATTAGTGTTCTCTGAGACTCAGGTTAAGAAGTTATAGTGTAAGCGCATAGAGTTTGTATTCATTGAGTGCTTTCACTGTGCTAAGCACTCATTTATTAACAACAGAAGCATTTTATTAGAATCATAGTTGAAATTTAGTGGTCAGACTTCAGGTTGCAGTACTTATAAATTTTACTGGATACTTGTGAATTGCTTACTTAATCTGAGAATTTTTGAAATTTTGTTCTTTTAGAGGAAACATGGAGAGAGCCATTGACATGTTCAACAAAGCCATTAACCTGGCCAAATCAGAAATGGAGATGGCGCACCTGTATTCCCTTTGCGATGCTGCCCATGCCCAGACAGAAGTTGCGAAGAAATATGGATTAAAACCACCAACATTATAAAACAAGAGGAAAGGAGACTGACCAGCCCTCTTTTTAAAAGAAGTTTACCCCCTGTTCAACTGAACTATAAACACAAAGTCATGAACATGTTGAATGGTGGAATTTAATATTCCCCTTTGTGGTGTTGTCAGTCATTACATCTGTTTCCTGTTTAAGTGTTGTGGGCGTGGCTGTTGGAGGAAGTTTGCAGTCTTGCAGCTTTTACTCCCTGTGCAACAAAAACTTAGAACCTGTTAAGGGGATATTAAAATACAGTTGCAGAGTACAAAAGCTAATTGGCCATGCAAATAAAAACTTTGACTTATTGATTTGTTTTTGGTTTTATTTAATTTAATGGGGTGGGAGGTGGTTATATTCTGGATGATTTTGTCTTTATATATGTGTATAATATGAGTATTTTACAGTATGTTGGTTTTTAAATTAACACAGTAAGTGCTGTAAAATAAGTTTATATTCAAATAATCCTTTATAGTTGATTTTTTTTTTTAAGGATGCAAAGCTTCAATGTTGATTACAGTAAAATTGAGAAACCCTTTAAATCATTGTCAGTATGGAAAATGGCTCTGATTCTGCAGAACTTTAGAAACTGAAAGTTCACAGAAGTTGGTTTCCATTCAGGAACAAAATATTCTGAGATTCATAGATATAGATATCTATCTATCTAAATATATATATATTAGAAGACTACTAATGAGAAATGGACCAGAAAAAGAGGTAAGATGAAAATGAAGTGTGTTTATAATTATCCATAGCTATTTTGTGTAAAACGTACTACTACTTAATGTACTTTTAAAAGGAAGTATGGGTTGTTTATGTGTATAATCCAAACAGATGGAGTAAGTAAGATATATGGGAATATTTAACTATCTTAAATTTTCTAATGAAGAAAAAGGTAGGTAAAGTTTCAAAAAGAATGTTAAGTCTTGTACCCAAAGCAGAGTATTTTTTTGAAAATGACAAATTTAGTGCTTTAGGCTACCTATATTTAAAGAATTTTAAGCCAATATTTTTAAAGATGCCAAGTACATGTAAAGTGCTTTTTTTGTATTGAACTTGACCTCTAAGGACTAATGGCCCATGTCTGGTCTTCAGTACGATTGTGACAGCTTTGGGAAGCACTTTAAGGTGTATTTCTAGTCCCTTTTATAGACCATCCTTGTGGTTATATGCTAGATTTTTCTGATGAGGAAATGGCTGTTTTCATAAAGGATCTCTTATTTTGACATATCTAGGACAGGTAGAGATTTATTTTAAGTCTGAATATTATAAAAGAGCAAGCCTTCTGTTACACTTATCAAGAAATTAAGTCTAATTCTAGTTTACATTGTTGAAAGTAAAGGAGCATTTTACCCTCTTTAAAGGAGTACTTTATCCTGTTAAAACCAAAAAGATTTTGTTTATAAAATTTTAGAAAATTAGAAATTATTCCCCTTCCAAAATCAGGCTTTGAAAAGATTGAAGAGGCCTCTGGCTGATTTTAGTAGGGGCAGATAACATAATTAAAGATGATTGGGACAATGGGAAGTTGGAGAGCTCTGTATTTTGTTTCTAAATTATGAAAATCCCCAAATATAGAAATGTTCTACATCTCTAACCTCTGGCTTTTAAAAGAAAACGTTTTTATTTGCATGGCTATAATTACATTAATACTGACATGTTCTACTCTTCTTTCTTTTTTTCCTTTGGGGTTGAGTAGAAAAAAAACAAAACTGAAGCATGTGCCATTCTTTACTATCATTCCAAATTCTCACAGAGCATTGCCTGTTGTGAAAATATTTGAAACTGCACTGAAAGCTGCATCTGTCTGTATCTTTTCTTTTGTAAATGACCTCACATGTAAATTCACCAAATAAATATTATCTTCAACCTTTCTATCTATTCTTTGAACAGAAAGGTAGTTTATTCATTTACTTTAGTATTGGATAAATTCAATCATTCTCTTCTGGCCTCAAAGTAACTTTGAAAATAGGCTGTACAAGTTTATTGTCATGAATGGTGGAGTTTATCCTGAGAGAACCAGATAGCAACCTTATCTATATCTGTGCCATACTTGCAGAGCAGCATGGAAGGTTGCCAGTCAGACCAGGGTCTTGTCGATTAAGTTTTCCTTCAAACTGGTCCCATTGGTGAGTTTGATCGTAGTTCTCAGTCACCTGGAGTCTTTTGGAAAGCATGCTTCAAATCTCTAATGGACGATATCTTACAGTAAGCTTTGGTTTTAAAATACAATTTAAGCAGAACTTCCTGCCCTCTGAAAACAAATTGAAGTTTACTTAAATTGTAGTTTAGATAGTACTTTGTACCTGTAGAAGTCCACAAATTGTAATCTTAATGTTATTTATAATCCAGAAAACCATATAATTTAACCAAACCAGGAAATAGTATAAAAGTAATCATTAACTAAGCCCTAGCTGGGTGCAGTGGTGCACACCTATAATCCCATCGACTCAGGAGGCCGAGGCAGAAATAGCACAAATTCAAGCCCAGCTTGGGCAACAAATCAAAAAAGTCTTTACTGATAATTGGGTTTTATGGTTTTTGTATTTTTTGTTGTAGTTTGAGACAGGGTTCTCACTTATGTAGTCCAGGCTAGTTTTGAACTCAATACATAACCTGAGCTGCCCTCAAACTCAGTGATTCTTACCTTCTACCTCAGCCTCCCAAGTGCTGGGATTATAGATACACACCTCCATGCCTGGCTCTGATCTTTGTATTTATAAAGAAATAACTTAGGAGTGATTGGAGAGAAGGATGGGTAACAGTTCTACCCCCAGTTCTCTGCTAAACTGATTTAATAAGATGATAATTTTAATTTAGTATATTTGCAAGCTTTAACATACTGTAATTTAACATACTGTAATTGGGTGAATAATGGTCCCCTAAAAGATAACTACGTCCTCATCTTTGGAACCTGTGAATGTTAGCTTGCATGGCAAAAAGGTGGACTTATTTTTTACAGTAACCACAGAAATTAATACTCCTTTGGCTATTTTATATAAGGAGATTTATAGTCTAAAGAAATTCTTACTGGGAATAGTGGCACTCGCCTGTAATCCTAGCACTTGGGAGACTGAGGCAGGAGGATCTCCGTGAGTTCGAGGTCAGCATGGGTTACATAGTTCAAGACCAACTATATAACAAGACCCTGTCTCAAAAAACAAAAAAAGAATTTGTTTGAGTGTCCCAAAGTAGAATTCATATGTACCTAAGTTTTGGCCAAAGGTGGTTTAAGCAGTGAGTATACACTCAGATTCACAATAGCGTTTTAGTCAAGAGTCAGGGGTATTTGTGATTTAAAATAAATCTGATCATGGTATAATCATCAGGCCAAAGGGCTGCCTTTCATATATGAAATAAAAGTTAATATCCTTCTACCAGTATCCTAGAAGAAGTATCAGTATTTTTGAAGATACTATACTCAAATTTTTTGAAACTTAATGAATTAGGTAAGCATGAAAATAATGAGTCTGATTTATTTTAAGGTGACAATACACAAATTATACTTTGTATTTCAGATCTGTTACTCTTAGACCTTTTTAGATGGTCTTCCTGCTCAGGAACTCTGCTAAATGTTAGGACAAGAATAGCTGTGGTATCTGACCCCATCTGAAGCAGGAGAGGAAGTTAAAGGAGGGAATAGGCAAAGGGCCAGGATGAGTGCTTTCAGAGTACAGTGTCACCTGACTTGATTTCTCCAGTTCTTTTTTGTGTGTTTTATTTTTGGTACTGAGAATTGAAACCAGGCCCTTTGCAGTGAGCTACATTCCCAGACCTTCTTAGTTTTGACCAGGGTCTTCTAAGTCTCTAAATTGCCCAGGCTAGTCTCAGACTTGCAATCCTCCTGCCTCAGCCTCCCAAAGAGCTGGCATTACAGGCATAGGCCACAGTGCTTGCTTCTCCAGTTCTTTTGTTTGTAAATATGACTGTGCAAGTGTTTCTAGAAGCTGTGGAAAGGTTTACCTAGAGCAGTGGTGGCAAACATACAGCACATATGTTATTGTGTTTTTTCTTTGAAGACAAAAGATATTAATGTATGGGTGTTTTTTTCCTAAGCTAAAACTTCAGTATTCAGGTTTAATTACAGAGTTGGCACTTTCTGATAATTAAGTGGGTTTGGGGTTGCAGTTTGGCACTCAGTCTCTAAAAGGTTTGCCAACACTGACCCAGAGCAAGAGGTAAAGTTTTGTATCTTCCAAAGCTGTTCATTATACAGATGTTCTCAAAAGGATTATCTCAAACCATCAGTGCTTCTGCTCACAAGATGTACAAAAAACCATGGAGCATAGGGCCGGGGATTTAGCTCAGTGGTTTCGCCGCCTGCTGCACAAGCACAAGGACCCGAGTTCGATCCCCGGTACAAAAAAAAAAAAAAAAAAACAGTGGAGCATGGACACTTACCCCCAATCCCTACACGGTCTTATCTTTTATTCATCTCAAGCTTCATCTTTCACCAGTTTAAAGAATTACAGTATCTAACTTGGATAACAGCATGGTGCCGGGAAAAGTATTACTGGCCTGAGCATCAGATGACCTTAGTTCTAACCAAACACTGCTTCCCACTATGTGTGCCATCTTAAGTAAATGAATGTCCCATCCATTTGTAAGTATGTAAAATTACATTATACTCAGGATCTTCCTAGATTAGATTCCCTTAGAGTAAAAGTCTTCTTAGAATTATTTAGCCAGAAAACTTGCAGGTGAACAAGTATAACTTGTAGAAATAAATACCTCCAACTCATTAACTTAGTAAACACTCATCAAAGAGGACTGGCCATAAAAAAATGAATATAAAGGTCTCAAACATAGCCAGGCAAGCTGACATGTGCCTGTAAGTCCAGCATTCAGTAGGTTGAGGTGGCAGGATTAGAGTTTGAGGCAGGCCTGCGCTGTAACCCAGACCCTGTCTCAAAAGAAAAAAAGATGAAATAAAAGAGCTCAGAACTACATGACAGGTTTGGTGCCATAGTCAAAGTTATGTACACACTCTTGTGTTAGAAACACAAGAGTAATAAATTCTGCTATGCTTTAAGGAATAAATCAGCTTTAGGTGAGGCCCTTTCTAAAAAGGGATACAACCACAGCAAAAAAAATCTTAGGTGAAGGGACATTATGAGTATGGGTAAAAGTGATGCATTTGAATTGACTCCAGCAAAATCAAGTTTTTAAACCAGTAAGAACAAATAGTGGAGCTAAATGTATGAAAATTATGAGCATATATTTAGGACTATGCATGTACATGAGATTACTTCAGGACAAAAGGTAAAATACTAAAAGGCTAAAACTTGGTAACATCATCAGTGGTGCTGAGTTTGAGACAGGCTAAACAGGCCTAAAGTCAGTCATTTGTAATCTTTGCCAAAGAGCTGTCTTTGGAAGGGTGAGGGCAGTATCTTGCTGCAAGGGCCTAAAAAGCAACTGAAGGACCAGAAATATCTAATAATTAGAAGTGACTTTCTAAAGAAATTAAATGAAAAAAGTAGTTTACGGGGTGGTAGGGGTTTTGTTGCGAGGGCAAAACTTTTTAGACTTGAAGGATAGTTAAGCATAAAGAGATAGACATTTGGAAGGCTTAAAATATCTCAGGAAGAGATAGCTATGACAGTACTTAAACGTATACTGTATCTTGGTCACATTCTTGCAGATTCTTGTTCCTTTAGTGGCTATGAACCAACTAAATTATTGAACAAGAAGTAGTATCCTTGTATGTATGTGTTTCAGTTATTTGTATATCAGGGGCTTCACTTTTTAATTTCTGGGATTTCTTTGTTTTGGTTTTTGAGACCAGAGTCTCACTAGCCCAGGCTGGTCTGGAACTCGCAGTGATCTTGATGCCTTAGCCTCCTGAGTGCTGAGATTGCAGATGTGTGTCACCACGCCCAGCTAGTAATTTCTGTTTTAACAAGACTACTTTATCCTAAAATGGATTCTTTTCCAACTTGACCTTTTTCTTATCCGCCAGTCTTCACTCAAGAAGAAACAAGATAATCTGACAGGGAAAACAAAACTGCAACATAAAAGTGGTTGTGAGGCATAAGGAATTAACTCTGAACTGTACTGGCAATATGTAGGTTATTGAAGAACCTACACAGAACCCATCTTTTCCCTTTCCATCTGCTGCTTTCATCGTACCTACTCACCGCCTGTGTTAGCTTTTTATCATTATGATAAAAAACCTGAGAAAGACAGCTTAAAAGAGGAAAGACTTATTTTGGCTCACAGCTTCAGGTTTTTGACCATGTTCTCCTGACTCCAAGTCAGAAACATCATGGTGGAAGGGGTTGTTGCAGGAAAACTGCTCATCTCATGACAATCAGGAAGCAGAGAGAAAGGAAAGAGCCAGAGGAAGGGGCTGAGGACAAAGTGTAGTCCCCCAACAGCATCCCCCCATGACCCACTCCTTTCAACTAAGCCCCACCTCAAGTTTCCACTGCCTCCCAATAATGCCATCAAATTATTAATTCATCAATGGATTAATGCATTGATGAAGTTAAGAGCCCTCATGATCCAGTCACCTTCAAAAAGCACACCTCTGGGCCGGGGATTTAGCGCAGTGGTTCCTCTGCCTGCCTCGCAAGCACAACGTCCCAAGTTCGATCCCTGGTACCAAAAAAAAAAAAGCACACCTCTGAACACATGAGTCTTTGGGGGACATTTTAGAACCACCATCATAACCTATCAGCAAAACATTCTAAGCTCTTTGGAGGAAGTTCTTAGAGAACTTAAGTGACTTGTTATGGATGTATAAACTAAAGCAACAGTTATAATAAAGGATTATGTATTGCAACAAGAGACAAAGTGAAATCACAAGATGCTTTTCAGGTAATACAAGAGAAAGAGGAAAGAATAGTATAAGTCCAAAATAGACGA